TTATTTTACGGTATCTAACATGTTTACAGTACTAAAAGTACTTAATATCAAAGACAACCTGGTCCAAGAAATGAATATATATATAAAGAAGGGAATATGCAATAGTGGTTTTTAATCAAATGGCTATCTAAACTGAAAAATAAGTTTGCAAAATGATTGATTCTTTTAAATATCTGTCTTCCTCTAAACAACGTTAAAAATAATGTGGTTATAATCATGGATACGTTAATAGGGACAATATATGAGAAAAGCTAACCTGATAATTGTTTCAAATGGCGAAACACTGAACAGTTGTTATTGATGCACCACCAACTTTCCGGCACTTTTCCAACTTTCAACTAAAGAAAGGGAATATTCAAAGGTCCCAAGCTATGGAAACATTGCGTGATATTAGTTCGCCTGCACACGTAAAACGTTCTTGGTTACTCTGATGATTTATTCTCTTGTGAATATTCGATTAATATTATTCTGTTTGGAGACATGAAGAACGATCGCAGCCTGATCGAAAAACGATCAGTTTTTAGAGCAATTCGACCTTGCAATGCTTTAGTTGGAATTAATACCTCCAAGCAATTTGCCAGTATTCACATACTGAAAGAATAGCCAATAAAAACTGTGAAGATTTTGTTGCTTCAAATTCATACTGTTTGCAATGCCTAGACGAAATCCCTCCAAAAATGTTGACCCATTTGATTTGGTAGTTCACGCAAGTAGTGACTTCGGATTAGAATTTCCATTAAAAGACATATGTGAAACAGTGGAGCTTTGTGTCGCAGGCTGGTAAAGAACAATGTTCCGTCCGCAGCAACCAAAGACAAGTCCAGAAGATGGACAATCGAGTTGAAGAATCGACATTTTTATTGGTGGTCGCTGGTGTTGCCGTTCATCACTGTCATTTCGGGGTGGCAGCACCTTTTGTGGAAGGCAGACTGTTGATTGTCGATAACCCTCGCTTGTGGACCAGAATCGACCGATAAAGATCGCCTGGTTCGGGTACCTGTTTCCAATAGCCTTTCATAACTAGCTTTTCATCAGATCATACAGCTAGGTATGCAAAGAGGCGAGAAATGATTTGGAACTAAATTAGCAGTTGATTCACTCACTGGAAAGCCGAATGATCCTACTATTCACATACTTAGTTTGCACTTTTTCTTCGGCATCGTTTTTTTTCATGCAATTTCTGGCCAAAAATGGAGTTTGAAGCATGACTACTTTAAACCTTACAGCGCAAATAAATGCAACCAATTGAAAATTTGCGTTTTGTCCCATCGATCTAGATCTCATAATGATATTTCCAACAACATCAGATCCTAGCTTAAATCTTTACATCACACAATTGGCCCCATCATAATCTCCATATTACTTCTCTTAACAACTCCATTAGCAGCAGCAGCAGTTCCGTTTGGTATAACTAGTCATTAATGTATTAAACGCGTTTTTAACACATTAGATAATATCAATATAGTTTTAATCGACTGGAAGTGAACATTGTCAGTTAACACACATTAACATTGATGCCGGCAAGTTTTTCCCATGGATAATTAAATCTAAAAAATTATGAGAAAGCCCGACCACACATATATATACCTATGGCCGGTGCCCAATACCATAAACTTGTGAATGTCCTCGACCATAAAATCGGTCATTTAATTATAGTTTAATAATGATAACTGTTTATTTGATTGAGTTCGTGCCGGCTTGTACTGCGTTAAAAGTTATTTAGTGGTTATTAAGGAGTTAATTCGTTTTCATTGTGCGAGTGCTCAATTCTCTTGAAACTCTGAAAGTGAGTTGTTGCATGCTTTTGAAGTGTGATCCAAATTTAAGTGGTTGTCTGAAGTGGGATTGCTTTTGGACACACTGGAGAAAATTCGTTATTAGTCAGGAGCAAAGAGTTGTAAGGAAATTCGCTTATTGGCAAGACAGCAAAGGCTCAATTTTTCCACCCTAAATGCAGGTATATACCGGTGGTTATAAAGTATGTACACCAGCACATATATCTGGGTGTCAATGCGAGATAAACTGAGTAGCACAGCAAACCAAAACATAAATATCGGTTTATCGATTGATAATTCGTAAATTATACTGGACATTGGGTATTGACCACGCGAAACATTAGACCTTCGCATACCAAGCAACTATGTATGGGGAAAGCCGTGAATGTTTACATACAAGAGCGATGCACCTGTGTACATAATATTCTCTCTGCTTCTTCCGAACCTAAACCAGTCCTCCAATGAAAAAAACAATAATTTCTTACTCATCTGCATGGCACCAAAAACGAAGATTCAGAGCGTCAGAAATACGTAGACTAGACAAAATTATCAAAATTTGGCTAATTTGCATGCCCGAGTGAGATTTTGTTCAGCTAATGAGAATTGTACCAAATCTTCACCGAAAAACGAAGACAGAATTGGTGGCTATTTGAAAGTGGGTCATTGATTGAAAATGGAAGATTAATTTTTTAATAAAGAATATTAATTAGAAACAATTGTCGTTCGAGCTACAGAAGAAGCACGCAGCTTAGTGATTCAGCTACTTCCAAGATAAAGGATGAACATGTTAGGAAAAGCGACGCGTCAGTTTCATCTTTCAGCAGCGTGTTCATTTCTCTGGACTTAAAAAGTAAACTTCTGACTGACTTAAAAAGTATCATGAACCAGCCATCACGTGCAATAGGTTCGGTTACCAATCATACTGTAATAATAAAAAAATTGTTTTAATTGTCGATTAATGAACAACAACTATTAGCAATAAGCCAACACCCTTGGGTAATTTGCGAAAAGTCGATACATCATGCTAATATTATTATGCTAAGCAAAAAGTCGGCCAGCTGCTCTGGTTCTTGTGAACAAATAGACAAAAAAAGTAGGATGTTCTTGAATAACCGAGGCCAAAGAAAAAACTAAAAGCGGTAGGGCGGATCTTGTCAAAAATCATTTCATTCGGCTTTGCCACGCCGTATTAATACGAAAACAGAACATCCAAGTCATCTCGAAACCGTTCATCGATCATTTAATGGATATGAAAGTTTAACTAGCACTTAATGTATCAGGAATGCCAATGTTAGATCAGAACGGCCAATAAAGCTGTAAAGGCGGCTGTTTATTTCCTATTTGTTATTTTATACGCTCATTACGATATTAACTTAATATGTTAGATAATTAAAGCAGTGTCCTCATTTTTGTCATTTATTTCACTACCAGTTGCAACTCGTGTCCATATTGAGCTGACGCAAATTCCTAAGTCTGCTTAATCCAATAGAATCGAACAAAATTAAGACTAACTTTTCATTTCGTGATGCAATTCCGGTTTTGTCGAACAGAACCTTTGCTAAGGCTTCCTACACACGTATTGTGACTATTAAGCCCTAATCTGTTTAACAACCTCCACATAATCCTCTTTCGAAAAAGCAGAACTGATACGGTTGACCAGTTCCGTTGGCTTTTTCAATTCATCAATTTTCGATTGGATTATTGGATTTGTTTCACGATAGCAATCTTTCGTTTTGTCGCATTGCTTCTTTTAATTTTATAGTTATTTTGCATTTTGTTATAATTTACCACACTCAGTAGGATTCAGGAATTAGAAATCACTAATCTATATTAGGAAAATATTTTCACGAAAAAATATAAATGTTTGCGTAATTGTATGCGGATTGTTAATTTTGTAAACAAATCATTGAAACCAATCAGTTTAGTTTACTTCCCTGTTCCGTGTTTTCGGCGCTAATGACGCATTTTTCAGTTTAATTATAAATTGAGAAACGGACGCTCAATTAATGTAAAATAAATCGCTCTAAACATTTAGAAATCAGCACTGCTTACAATTTTATTCAACTACTCTTGTCCAACTGTTTCTACTAAATCCTTTAGCTGAAGAATAATGCAAACTAACCCAAACAGACCCAAACAAGCTGAAACCAACCAAACCCCGTAGATTGACTTTCAAAGAGGAACTGAAAAAGTGAAAGATATTTTTTTCGGTAACTCCGTTAACTTTCCAAGAAAGTCAAGATAGCCTTCCTGGACATTTATCGAAGTTACATTGTTCAAGAACCTCATTAATCTAGAGATAATTCCGCAAAAAAATCTTTTACACTATCATCCGGTCGAACACACCTAAAGTAAACAATCCGGCTAGAATAATGTAAGTGACAGTAACATACTTTCGAATATTATGCACAGATAAAAGACAATCGAAGCGTGAGCTAGTAAAGACATTTCCTGTGATGACACTGAGTAGGAAGAAAAAAGATTATGAAATATCTTCTTATCGGAATTCCAGTGGGTCGATAAAGTGCTTTTAATAATAATTGTTGGAGAGGCAGTAGCGTAGAAAGGGCCAATTTTCAAAGATATGTCTTGTGAATCTTCCCGTATGGATAAGGTCAAACTGCGTGAAAAAAGAAACCAAAAAAAGCGTTGCTAATATTCTGGATAGTCATAATTACTAAAGTCAACACCAAGTGATCTTCCCTATCAATCACTGTTTAAATTCTTGTCAATTATCTCCGAGAACCACCTACATGGAATATTTACGTCCAAAACTACAACGGTATTATACGAGATATTTGAAGAATTTCACATATACTATTATGAAAACACTTGTTGAGTTAATAGTTGATTTGAATATATTCATCGTACCTCCCATGGAGCCTACAGGTGATACTAATGATCCAATCTTCAGTGGTTTGTATATACACGAAACGCTAATTACTGGATATTGATAAGCTTGTCTAGCGCCGATAAGAGAGATGTGGGGAATGTATAATATTTTCTGGTATTTTATGCAGATTTTGAAAAGTGCCAACTTTATGCTGCAAGTTTGCCGGAATTAATTGATGTGCGCCACTGCCTTGGTTTATCTCGGTCCATTCTGGCGTAACATAATCGAATTAAATAAGGAGATTGATCGGTTGAATTTTTTCGGTCGCCTTTTCAATCTTTTCGTAATTTGGGTGTAAATGGCATTATCTAATCCCAGTTTTTCTTTTTCAGAGATCGTTTACGCTCATCCTGCAGGCTTTGGATCACAACAATTTTTCTATACCTGGTAAGGAAATTGCGATTAGTTATTTAAATAACGCATTTTAGCCGTAGGCTGCAATAGAAATAAGTGAGGGAAACTGATCATCTGCTTCCATTCTTTTCTTTAGAAGGTTTAGTGAAGTTTGAATACGATTGAATAAAAATAGGATTTTTAATTAATTAATCAAACAACTATTGATTGCTGGACAACTGAAGCTCGATAAAAAAAACGTTTGCATCAACGTCCATCGCATGTATGTTTGATTTATCACTTAAAGAAGGAACAAAACCAGCGTTAATTGCTAAAATTAATACTCTAATATCAATGTAATAGAAAAAAATCAATCACTTTTGTTACAGGAAAAAACTTGGGGGGAGTATCACACCATTCTCAAGTCCAACACTCCAGACTTGTAGTTGCAAAAAAATCAAGTGCATTTAAATGAATAAATAGACATTAGAATGTATGCAAACAAGCATTAATAGAATGAATTGTCAGGGCTGCTAAAAGTCATTAATCATTCCCTCTCGTTGAATTCGTAATGATTACAGGTAATTTGACACCGAAGAAACCATAATTCACACGCGTCGATAAAAAGGCGAATAATTATTCAAACACAAGCAAACAAATTGTTTAAATAAAAACAAAACTACTGTATTTACCACTTGAATAGGTTAATAGGATGCATCATGAAAGTGTTCAAGCAGCACTTAAATTATGCTTAAGAAAGTGCAAGGTGTGTAGGTTGAATCGCCTCCGGGCTATTGAGTCAATATAAGCACTCTTGTAAACGATTTTAAAATGGGATAAAATACTCTTCGAGTACTTATTAATGAATGTACAGACGCCCACGATTCGTGATTTGCAAATCTAACACAAAAGCCGCTCTGTGTACACACTGCAAAACCGTTTAGTACGACGTACGAGGATAATTTTATTTAAATTCACTACACATTTTGCGAATTCCGTTTGTTTGTTGGATTTTATTTGCAGTTTCTATTGTTGTGCTAAATGGGGTATTTACGTGGAATTCCAACACTCTATATGCATCTTCAATCTTAACATCATTAACCATAATCAAGCAAGAGATCAGTTTCCAGTTTAATTACGGCTTTGCTTTGATGAATGATTGTCTGTATGAATATGCGTTTGAATGATATTTAATAAAGTTTATCTTTATTAATTTTTTTTAAATGTTTATTGTTAATTTTTGTTTTAATTCTTTCAGCAAGTAATGATATAATTGAAGAAGCAACCTACTCAGGGATAATTGACCCCAGTCCCGAATGGCACACATTGAACCATCGGGGTCCCCGTGCTCACCTTACATACAGGGTGCGCGTCAAATGTGATACTCATTACTACAATTCTACTTGTACAAAATTCTGTAGGCCGCGAGACGATAAGTTCGGCCATTTTATCTGTGATGCTAATGGTGATAAGGAGTGTATAGAGGGATGGAGGGGAAATATTTGTGATATAGGTAAGTTGAAAAGTCGCTAGTTTATGGCGTATATTGTATAATTGTATTAAATATTCCCAGTCTCCTGATTTAATTGATTTGCAAATGTTGTATCTGAAGCATTTGAGGAGGTTTGAAAAAGGCGTAATCGCGCAATTTTAACTGGTTGTTGGCAAAGTTTTGAACTTTTTATACTTGCACATTTTTGCATCTTTGAACAAAGTTAAGTTAGATTCTCATTGAAAGCTGTTAGTTTAGAAAGGTTTAGCTTGGTTCTAAATTTGCGACTAATTTCATCCGTGCGACGTTTTTGGGCATTTTTCGGACATTTTTCAAAAAAAATAGTTCCGAATTTGTTCAAGATGTACCGACTTTTAAACAGAAAAACATATTATTCAAAAGCCGAAGCAGTTGCAAAATTGTCACATGCGCGCTTTAGCTAGACGCAAACTATATTCAATAACTTAACATATCAATTTAAGAATTTTGTGCATCAGTGGTTGCACCTTAAATGCTTTTACTATTTCCAATCTCTATTTTTTCTCTCAATAAGATTCTTCAGTCATTTTCGACAACATTTTCATATGACCCCACTTTAACATTGATTATGGACAAGACACTTAAAAAGAAGCTGTTTTTTCACTCTGTTCGATGCACACAGCTTCACTCTAAATTGCATATTTGGGCTAAATTGTTTTAAGATCTGTCGGTCTGTGAAGAAAAATCAGTTAGCCATACACCGTTAGATAGAGTAAAATGCATTCTATATCTGCGGTAAGTTTCATCATGGTGCTATTTTCGGTTCACTTTTAGGGCATTTTTTCAATTAGCAAACTTTAACATTCCCAATCCGCAGGTCTTTGAAATCAGCGGGTCTGTAAACAAAGTTGAGTTACTTCAAAACTTTCGCGATTAGAATGACACCCGTTAGATTGTTAAATAGACCAGACCTCGCTCTAATAGTAGTACAGATTTCATTCGAGTGGCATTATTGTGCGAATTTTGGCAATTTTTTAATAATTGAGAATCAGAAAAAAATCACTTACTTAAACACCTTTAAAGTTAGACGACTACCTCATACACGGTTAGTAAGAATAAATTGCATTATATATCTACTCTACGTTTCATGTCGGCGGTATTTTTTGGTGATTTGTAGCTAATTTTCTTGCTGCTCTGCAGGTACTTAAAATCAGCACGTCTCTGAACAAGATCGATTTACTATGAAGTTTTTAAGTTTTTAAAGTTTTTTGATTTAAAAGTCGCCTAGAAGATTGTCAGATAGTCCAAACGTCGCTCTAATGTTAACGCAAATTGCATGCCAGTAACATTATTGTACTCCTTTTGATAATTTTTGTAAAGTTCTAACTTAAAAATGTCTTTCAATTTGCAAGCTTAAAAAATCAATTACTCGAACACCATTACGAAGACGAGTTTCAAAACTTCCTCCTACACAGTTAGAGCAAAACACATTCTATATTTACTGTACGTTTGATCTCTGCGGAATTTTGGATTGATTTTTGGAAAATTTTCGAAATGAGCACAGATTAGCAGCTACTTAAAATCCGCGGGTCTCTAAACGAAGTTGAGTTGCTACAAAACTTTTGTGATTGGAAAATCACGCGTTAGATTGTTTAGAAGACCAAACCTCGCTCTAATATTGAAGCAATCTTACATTATTGTAAAATATTTGCCAATTTTTTATAATGTTAAGTTCAGACCTTCAAACTTTTAAAATTTGCAAGCCAATGAATGAAAAATGAAATGAATCAATCAATCAATGAAAAAAATTAAAAAAATCACTGAAATATCTTTAAAGCTAGTAAACAGCCTTATAAATTATTTAAAAAGGGCAAGCTACATTCTACATCTGCTGCAAACTGCATCCTAATAACATTTTTGAGTGATTTTTTGGCAAATTTCTGAAATTAGTGCATTGTAACATTACTCAAGCAAAGCTAGTCTACCTTTTTACGTTGACTTGGAACTGAAAAATGGACTCAGCTGTATAAATTAAAATTTGAGATGTGCAGACTTAAAATGCCTGAATGAATAAAAATAATTTTAAAGCAGTAGTTACGCAACACGCGCTTAGCGCTTAATGGGACAGCCTTTAAGTAATTAGATAATTATTTGCATTTTACATTTAACTGTGACACTTGAGAATGAAACATTTGCTTAATTATCTTGCGGCATAATGTAGGAGAAACTGTAATAAATTATTGAGCTAAGATGGCTTTTTATAAAAGAATACACCTAAACACTGTTACACTCTTTTAATATACAATTTGCGTTAGTTTGATGAAGAACGACTACACTGCTCAAATTCAAAAGCACAATTGAATCGTATCTGATCGGTTTAACTTTCGCAGAAATAGAAATATCTTCAATTAAATCTTCAATCAAAATCAAATTTTAGCCTACACGCTCAGTTACTAGTATCAGAGACAAATTTGTATCAATTAATGCTGATAATAGTCTGATTAAAATATTGCAAGAATAAAAAAAATTGGACCTAAATGAAAAGTAATTGATGTTTTTATTTTTCAGCTGTATGTAAGGCCGGATGTCATCCACTGCATGGAAAATGTGATTATCCCGGCGAATGCAAGTAAGTATCGCAAAACAAAGTAACTAATAAAATAATCTTTCGTCCCAATTAATCGTATTTTCACGTTTCTTCCACTAACCGACCATTACGGAAACATCCTCGCATATCTAAACTAGATCAGACACCAACTGGTTATCTAAACGACCACTTGTTATCTAAACTTCATCTCTTAGCGATATGTCTTTGAAACATTACAAAACGGCTCAACTTAGACTCTTATTAGACATGCATATGTATTTCATACGTGAGCTTTCTTTGCCCAAACCAGACGGCTTCCTATATTCGTATGTTAATCAATTACCCTTTTTAACAATATCAGGCTCCGTAATTGCCTAATTTGCTTATCCTTTATCACATCAGGAGTTTGGCATATTTTTCGATCTGAACATAATGAGGAGTCGTTTCGAGCCCCGAGGTTTTAATGAAGTTATTTTCTCGCATTTGGATAATTATTAAAATTCGTTAGGGTTATTGCTTCCAGTTTATGGTAGGAGGAAGTGCTTATGGTGTGGTTTTAGAGGGGTTTTAAGCATAAGGCAATCTTAATTGTGTGAGTGAGCTTTTAAGGGCATTAGACACGTGATGGCGTTTCCTCATGCAATGTGATACATCGCATCCGTTAAGTATTTAATAATGAAATAAGTTTGAATTGGAAAAATCCTGCTCCTTTGAAAATTAGCTTGTTGCATTCAAAGCTTCCACTCAAATTAGATAAGTTGCCAGATAATTTAACCGCGAACAACAGCTATATGTTGACCGCAATCTCATCACTAGAAGCCAAGTGCTTCTTCTGCAGCATTATCCAAGAGCTAAACGGTATTCCGCAACTTACAAGATTAAATTATATCAATTGTCAGATAAATTGTATCCAACATAAAGAAGACACGTCAATTATTGAAGAGCTAAATCAGATTTAGATTAGGCGTTTACCTTTGCCGGACTACGTGAGATACTGCCTTTAATCTTTGGCGGAAATGTTTTCTTGTATCCTTTTTAAAATCGATTTATTGAATCTAGGCTCATATATCGATGGCACAAAAAGTAAATTACCATTTTCAAGTCATAGGGCTTTGACCATTAATGCTAATGAGGATTTTCATTTCCTTTGCTTTAGTTTTATGTTACTTTATCCCCAATTAATTTTACTGATGTTGAAAATTTGATAATTATTGTGCGAATAAGCAGATTTTAACATTTATATCTTAAAGTATACTTAAAGTCTGTAAGAAGAAAGATAAATTAAAATTCAAGTAGCAGGTAAATCTTGACGTTAAATAAATTGTGAAAGTTGTGCCTGTTTTTGTGCTTGAAACACGCCTTGACATTAACAAATTTGCACCTATTCTCAACAGATAACTTAAGCTTGATATCTGAATTACCCGTAAAACAAAATAAGGCCATAAAATCCGTCTGTTCCGTAATTGCAGTCATTACACTATAATTGCATCAATTTTATTTAAATTCGCTGATCGTAAATATTCAAATGGGCCATAAACCATGACTAATTCAACGATTCTTTCGGTGTATTTTTTTTTCGCTTTTTTGCTACTTCTCGTCGCCTGGAGTTTAATGAAATATCTCGGGTAGCTAACAATATAGTTAATTAATTAACATATTATAGAAGTTACGCGTTTATGCCCTGCTAGGATAATAAAAGTGTTTAATGGTTCTCGCTTAATTTATTCGTGCTCGTAAAGTTGAAATTCAGGTGCGAACATTGGTTGAACGTTCAAATTTAATCTCATTTCTTGCGTATCAATGACTCGTTTTGTAACCGGGAGCAATAAAGGTAAACACATTTTCACATGCCTGATGGTCAATGCCGTAGAACTATACAGTAAAGACTATCTGATGAACCAAAATGTTTAATTAAAATGTGTACTTGTATGAAAAAGTGTCGACGACAAAAATGGAGCGACAACTACTTACTCATCTTTATCGCTAAAATAAACGAAACAGTTTCAATCGGCTCTTACACCGATCATTCTTCAAAGGCAAGGCTAATTAAACGACTGTTAAGTATGCAGAGATTTCTGCATGTGATTGTTTTACCATAAACAGCCTCGTTAACTCAACAACTGGGACTTTTTCATTTACGTATAAAAGATGTAATCTCGTTAGATCGTTATCGAATGTTTTATTCAAGCATGTGTGCAAATTGAGTTTTACATATTAATTGACTTCGGTGCTAAGTACATATTCTTCGTTTTTTCATATTTAAAGAGCCACTGTTCAATAAACGAAAGCAACGGAARKTTYAGTGAATTTATATGCATTTTAACTGTTTTAAAGAAAATTACTAATTCAATGGTGGGAATACCCCTTTAAGATTGTTCAGGTGACTTTTCTTTGACKGTTMAAATTTTTTTTAAGCAGTAAAAAACTAAATTAAAATTATTTTCATAAAGGTCTAAAGAGGATGAAGAGAATTATCCATACATCAAATGTAATAAACGCCGATGAAATCGTGCTATTACGTATAAATGATTGAAAGTTTAATTTTCCAAATATTTCGTGATCGATCAAGTCGAATCAATTAACAAATGACTTCTCGATTTATTTTCTCAGCGATTCCGTTTGTCCATGGAAATTGGCTAGGCACATCGCTCACCATCTATATGGTTGCGAGTAACGGGCAAGTGTCTTCTGCACGATTTGCGGCACTAATTGCGTTTGATTGATTATTTTTTCAATTAAGATGAAAGTCAGAAAGCTAGACATGGCCTAATATGGCGGCTCTAATTAATTAGGCTGTGATTTTTCGAACAGAAGTTTGCCTGACCGCTGGTTCAACATTTTTTACATGTGTTTTCGGTGTATTTTCTAATGTTCTACTCGTTTCGGTCGGGCTTTGATATTGTTCGAAAACGGGGTTTTCGTGTTTGGTGTCACTTTTTTCTATGTCTTTAGTGTCTATTTGTGAATACAGCTATCAGATTTTGCGTAAACTTATCGGCTGAATTCCGTATAATTTTCTTTTGAATATTTGACAGTTCTTAAAAATTCAAAGTCTTCAAACAGCGAAGCAATGATTGAATGTATCAATAAACAACGCAATTTGGACGTCATTCTGTTTTGAAAATTCGGCTACTTTCATAGGTATTTTTCAGCAAAATGACTCCGAAATCATCAATTTAATTCAGATGAAATGCGTTAATTTAATACCGACTTGTTTCGCTTACTTTTACGTCTTAAGAGCCAATTATTTGAAAGCGACCGAATTATATTTGGAAGCTTAAAACAGTCTTTAGCATACCTTTTAGAGAAAAGACTCTGGACTGTCTGTCTGGAACAACTTTTCCATTCTTTTCATTTGTTCATTTTATTCTAATTATCTTATCCTATCTCTCAATTAGAAAGAGTCAATTAGAGGGAAAATTCCGAAAACTAGGCGTTATTATATGAGAGATAACACAATAAATACCATTCTATTCACCGTCCGTTTAGCCAATTTTACTGTTGTATGGCAAGAAGACAGTCCGATTGATATACGGGCTCAAAAGCACAAAAGTCAGTAATTGCACGTTCCATTTCATACAAGAATCCGAACATTTCGAAAAAACTCTAGATGCAGACAAGTTTTGTAAACGGCAATATATATCGCATATCTTACGTGCATGATACGAAACAAAAACATCACAGCGATGAGACCACCCGATAGGACAAGCGCTTGTGGCATCATTCGCCTTAGCTAAGCTAATCAAAACTAGCAATAGTCTTTTATGCGAAACCATCAAACTGATCTCGAAACATGTTCGAACCGTGATTCAAATCGCGATACGGATGACTTGCCGATTCTTCGAACTTAACCAATAGAACCTAATAAGAAGTCAGTTGAAGTCCAAATAGAAATGCGTATTTTTAGTGGTGTGGGAAACATTCAGGATTTTCCAAATCTTTAAGTAATTTGGAAACATTATCAACCTTCTGCTTTAGAGGTACATATTTTACGAAGTCTCTACCTGAACTTCCACCAGAACGCGTTTTTAACAGACACATAGGATTATACTAAAAGCAACGAAATGTGGATGAAAAATGTCACTTAATAAGAAAGGCAATCGTCAGTACGGTGAGTTTTTTGCGCTTTTAGATAGACATGAAAACTTTGCTGGCTTGCATCTTCAGATGTGTTTCACTCGAAAGCTTACCCTGGACCCCTCACTACCTCCAGGGTAAGCTGGACTTATATTTGTTCTTCTTCGTGTTAAACGATAAACAACAAGTTTAATCAGATAAAGTTTCTGAGTTGGCCAATTAATTAACGGTAGTATTCTGAACCTTTATGCATATATCATGTCTCTGATTTCTTCATTTTCATTTCTTTCTCTCATTTCTTGTTCGTTGAATCCATTTTTTTCGAAAACGGACCGAAATATCGGTATAAAATTAGGATATTAAATGTGTGTAGAAATTTTGAGCTAAATTTTTGAATGTGCGCCATATTGGTCACTGGTAGCGTCCTTTATGAGCAAAGCGGAAATTGCGACACGCACCTTATTCGCCTCAAAATTTCAAATTTCGAATCCACACATATTCATAATAATGGCAAAAACCTCCAGTTTACGGATTTCCTATTCTTAATGAATCACAAAATGGGTGAACTCAGTTATAGTTTATAGTGTTCGAGGTCAGAATTTACCTTCAAAAGTCGTTTAGTTGATTTAGTATATTTTTTAATATTATTTTAGTTGATCTCTAACATGTAATATTTTGTTTCAGTTGCCGACCTGGATGGCGAGGAGACTTTTGCGATCAATGCGAACCATATCCGGGGTGTAAACACGGCTACTGCAACGGATCATCGTGGCAGTGTATTTGCGACACTAACTGGGGCGGAATTCTTTGCGATCAAGGTGAGTTTAGTAGAAACTGTGAAAAGACGAAAAACAAGCAGCTAACTTGACGAAACGAAATTAATTTAGAAGTTCTACCAGAAAGAAGGCACCTGTGCCTTTATCCCACGGTGTTTTAATCCCCTTCAACATCGCCGTTCTGTTTTCTCTCTTTCTGCTTTAAGCCATTTTCAGTGCTTCCTCGTTCAAGAGGGTTCGTTTTTTTTTATTCGCCTCTCGAACTGCTTCGAACGAGTCTGTTTAAATTGGTCTAAGGTTCTTTCATGAGCGATACACATGAATATGCATCTCCATAGGTGCACGGTAAAGCCAGTGTCACTCACTCCATTCGGCCAGGGTTTTTCATTATTTTTTAGTTTTTATTTCATGTTCCTTATCCAACTGCAGCATTCATTATGGGTTTAAATGTCTGATTGTCTTTTGAACAGTTCTAAATCAGTGGCAAAGTGAATCTATTCTATGCTATCGATTTTTCGAGACTGAGTTGGAAATGTTTTTTTTGAGTGCATATTGGCTCTTAACAGAACATACAATTGAGCGAGTTGTTGTTTAAAAACTAGATATTTTATATCATATATCGGTACCTGCGCCACTGTTTTCACCTGCTGTTCTGCCTGTTTCAGAAGCAAATATAGAGCGGAAACCGATAAATAGAGAGCTGTAGATTAAAGCCAACTTAAATATCAGTGCAAGGCAATAAGTCGTTTCCAGGTGTTTGGGTGCATTCTTGACTTTTCCGTTGATTTCAAATAACACAAGCGGCCATGGGAAATCTTAATAATATGCACAGACTTTGGCTTTTCCGCTGCGAGATTTCATGGAATGTTCACTGATATTTATGTAAGGCGAGAGCGTGATGCGAATAATGGAAAATCCGGAAAAGGAAATGGCATATGGATGTTAAATGCTTGATCTTTGTGGTAATTAGCTCCTGCGTGCAGTTTCTTTTGAAATTATTTAAATATGAACCCGTTATGYTATGAATTGTTTTAAAAGTCTTCGTAAAAACGCGTATCCAGAAAATAAAAGTACGAATGTTGTAACACTCATTSAGAAGTATATTTTAAGCAGTTCTYATCAATCTTTATCCTTTAACGCCTTTCTTAGTWTTGAATAATTTGCGCTATTGCCAAATCTTCTTTACGTTATTGAGCTTTATCAAAGACAACAATTKCTCTCTTTCGGGATTATAGTCAGTTCAAAAAAMCRYATTTTYAATCATYAGATTTGTATAAAATGGTAAATCCGTTCTTATTAAACCTACATCTTCGGTAAAACGTCAACGAAAAGAGATTCTTAAGGCTGTTGATACACTTCTTCTGATTCATTTCGTCAAAGTGTGCACTTTTTGAAACGTTTGTGGTCGATTTCTTTTTCAAGCCATAACATGTATTTGCCTTTAGTGGTCATCTTTGCGTCGTTCATCGTCAAATTAAAATAATCACCTGATTCAAACTATAACGAACCCCTATACAGAGTTGACACAATAAAAACGCCCTTATAATTTATTTGAAGACACATGTTTGAGTACACGACCAAAAAAACGGCGTTAAAGGGTTAGTTAATCACTCTAATATGGAGCGTATCAGTGCTGTATCATAAATATCTAAGGCATTTTCTCTTTTGTATGTTTAATATAAGGGGATATCAGTCACATGATCAAGTGTGGTATTGTTGGAAATCACTTCGCGTGGCACGCGTATCTACATGTGTTATCCATGCCCTTAAAAATGGGGTGTCATTTTCAGGCCTACTATCGCAACTATTTTGAGGTGGAGATAATGTACTTTGGAAAATTGAATTTTTACTTAATAATATTGTTCGTTTGCAACGATTTTGTTTATTTTCTACATAAGTTTGCACGTTAGACGCTGCTTAATATTGAACTTGATTAGTGTTAATAATTTATATTTATCCTTTGATTATAATCAAAAGATCATCAGTTTCTTATTTTGTTTTTAATGAAATTTCAGCGTTCTCTTACCCAAAATAGACATTTTTGAAGTTGAACAGCAAAACTGAATATCAGTCTATGAACAAGAAATATGAGAATTTCTGAAAATTATGCAAACTTTTGTTTTATTAGTTGAAAAATCAAGGACTTTAAGTCGATTTAAAAGTATCAAAATATTCAGTTTTCGTCTTTCAAGAACCTATTCGTAAAGTATCATTTTCACAGCTATAGAATGGCGAAAGTATGTACACATTTAAATGTTTAAGCAAACCCAGTGGCTTAATTTCTCACAAAAACAAGAGCACGTTTCCGGCCTGCATATGTTATAGGCCCAACCGCAAAGTTCCCATAAAAACTGGCCGCATTTACCCTTGTGGCTTACTCCACTTTTTTGCCATTAATTTGATGAATGGCTTAGGGTCTCTATCGAAACCCCAAAGGTATTTTTTATATTTTTTTAGCCAGTTGCCCAAGTGGGGTCCTCGACACAGCAAGTGTAAGCTGAATGAGTGCATCTGTTGCTAATACACTATTTTCAGTTTAAGCTCCTTTTGTCTGGATAATAAAGACGTTATTTACGGTAAATAAATTTCGTTTGTGTCTGTTTTTTTTCATACTGACTGAAATGAATTAATTATCGATTATATGGAGAAGGAAGTCCGAGGCGTTTGATGTATAATGTTATGTTCAAATATGAATGACTTAATAACGAAGTTTCAAGGAGAAACATTTAAAGTATCTTTGGGAAAGGGTTCGTTTTTTATTCAGGTAAACTTTTAGACGAGACGAAAGCGACGATTTAAAAGTATATTTTTTCGATATACACACAGTTTATTAATTTGAAGCACTGGCTTCAGTTCAATTTACTTCGCCGTCTTCTGAACGCATCAGATTTCAACTTCTTTCAATGGCTTATCTAATCGATCAGTGCCGCAGTACTTTTACTCTGATAAATATAAAGCATCAAGTATTCGTGTTTTTATGGCTCAATAAAATCCAGTCATTTTCACACCAATTTCATCTTTAGGTTTTTGTATGTTGTGCGGGCTGCATGGTTAAGGCCGAAACGGGTGACCACCAACCTAATTTAACAACTAATTTAATGCTTATTCTTGTTTCGAATATATAATATATAGATCGTGACCAGGCATATTCGCGTAAAACGGGGTGCATTCTGAGCGGGCACCTGAAATTTTGTTAATTCATTCAATTCAATTTTGTATAAAATTCAAAAGGTTTAAGACTTGACCACCTTGTCGTGAGTGGAACCCTAAACTGGTCATTTTTAGTACTAAGAAATGCTAAAATGCAGACAATAGTAATTTAAATGTACATATTTAACAATACTCCTGGTATATTAAATAAACGATTATAGTCACAATTATGATGTATGTACCAAATGCAAGGAAAACGTGAGGAGGCAGTACGGAAAAGCCAACCATTTGTTGAAAAGCAAATTAGTTAATTTGGGAAAATGTTGAAGAAGATTTAAGGCAACTTGACAGTAATTTATTCTTCATATTTTCTTCTGATCCAAAACAATGTCGAAAATGTTTTTCATTTTATCATTCAATTATTTAAATCGAAATGAAATTGGCCTGTAAAATAAGGCCGATAAATTTTGTAATATATTGAATTTGACATTGTTGAAATTGAAAAAATAATTTTCCTAATCTCGGCATTTTATATAGTCAGTGAAAACTACATTCTTGTCCAACTAATGTGTTCTTTTGAGTCGTTGGTTTGTAATATTTACGTTCCATCCACTGTTGTGTACAAACAAAATTAACAGAGCATTCAAGAGCCCACAAGAGACCTCAACCAAACATCATAAATTTCGTAGTGAAGGGCGAATTACCAAAGTTCGTTTACCTCTAGAGAGAAAAAAACAGGTAGTTTTAAGGGCAACTCTCGATGATTTATCGAAATGTTTTAAAGGGAAAGTCATGCTTGCTAATTGAGACGATTAAGTTGGTGGGCACGGTGTCAAAAGCGGGGGTATTATTATAATTATTTTCGTTGTGTGAAGAAGTCAAATCCCCTTATTTGCGCCGATTATCCCTTATTAGGTAGGAATTCGGCTCTTGATCTTTTAATTTAGATTTTGGCGCATCATAATTTTAAATTAACAAGCTTGTTTTTGTGGGACAGTCTGTTCTTCGAGGAAGTCGGGTTATTTTTTTAACCAACTGTGGGAATAGTTGATACGTTTCATTGGCTTGCACTTGGGGAATTATTTTTAAAATTTCCTTATTGTATGTCTTTTATAAACTTTTTTTTGTTTCTACTGAAATTTTACTCAACAACCAAAGTTTTAGACAGCCAAAATTTCCAAATATGGATTTTGTAAATTGATTTTGTCCCTTATTAAGTCTAGTCAAAAATACGTTGTTCAGTTCTTTTGAGTCACGATGTATCTACAAACAAAATTCCACAGGCTCGATCGATAACTTTTTTCAGTTATATTTTTAACGCATGATTGTCGGATTTATTTTCCAACTTCGTCTTTTTTCTCGACAGATTTGCATGAATTACGATCGCTCAAAGTGGACCCCGAGAGGCAATGACGCGTGAATTGGTAGCAAACGTCCTTTTACAATGGATTTATTATATTATGACGGCGCCCTTGTACTAAAAAAAATAAACTCACTGAAGTGTCAGATGGTCTTGAATAAACTAGGGTTGACACTAAGCCGATTTGTCTTCGGGGACCATTTCGTATCATCGATTTTATGTGGTCGAAAAATGGATCGTTGTTGGTTAAGCTCATTTATTTGCAGTGGTTTTCAAGTCTATTTCTTWTTGTTTTTTATTTTATTATTATATTTTGTTACTGTTTTTAGACCTGGACCATTGGGTTACTCCAAAGCTTGAAAGGAACTGATACCTTTCACCAAATTGCGATTCAGATGTCTTCAAAAGTTTGAAGAACTAAAATGGTTTTTACGGCTTGAAAGGTCGGCGTAAAGCGTCGATTCGCAGCATTTCGCCAAATGAATCCATCCAGAAATTATACACTTTACACTTACACGGAGTTAAAGGCGACCTCAATTTGAAAACAACATTTTCGCTATATAAAGTTTAATCAAGAATACACGATAACGGTTATTCGCTAGATGTTTTCGTGAAATTCGCCGCCCATTTGTGCAGTTGCAAAATAAAGTGCCCGACGATTTTTTCCCGATCCGCCCTATTGATCAGCCAACCATCTACCGGTATTCTAGCAGAGATAACATGGCCATGAACTTTAATTTTATTATTAATTGCCGTAATTATACAACAGCAATGAAAATGCATGAATTCGCTGAGAACTACAGTGTGGAGTGCTTGAGCTAGACTTTACTTTACTAGGAGTATTAAATAATAATATCGTGAATTTCTCGAAGCTTTAGACCGTCGCAGAACAAAAATTCTTGCTAGCGCAACAGCCACCCGTTTCAAGATCTGAAAACCTTTTAGCAGTTTTACGTGGTGGTTTTACAGTGATAACATTTTTCATATTGACTGATTTTCAAAATCTCGAACTCATATTGAAACGAAAACTTTATAGTCGACTTAAAACAAAAATTTAAATTAGCGAATTGGTTGAAAGTATAGTTCACTTTAATGGAAAGTCCACCAGAATTCGAGACTTTGGAGGCAGCAGAACTGCTAAATAGGCGGAAAATAGGCGAAAACTTCAAAAACTGTTTTGAGATAAGTCATATCTTTATGCCTTTGGTGTTGCAGTCCCAAAACATTTTTTTTCCACTGGTAGTATGCCAAACTTTCAGCTCAGCATGTTGATGTTGTTTTATTTTCCACCCTGTATGAAGTTTATATGGAACTGTTGCAAAAACAGAGATTGGCAGAAAAAATTGAAGGCTACATGATCTTCGCGTGTATCAGAAATATCTAGTTTTCAAGCTGGGGCAAATTTGGCTTTACAACATTTATTCTGTTGAGCAGTTTATTTGAAATGGGAAATCCATAGTATTTATAATAATTGTTCTACCATTAAAAAATCATAGTTTCTGTGCTCTATCAGAAGTAATTGAATGAAATGTATGTTGTAAGGCCGTAGTTCTCCAACATTCAAATATACAAAGTTCCGTGGATACCATACCATGGTAAGACCTAATTAATTGGCAATGCAGATATTGCAGGTATTTCAAACATTTTTTACACAATCTGCGTGAAATTCTTACGGGAAATGTTCTATTATTACATGCTTCCTTCTATGGCATTTTATATGGAGACATGGACACTCGCTGAATACAATTAGCACTAATTTGCATGATTTTTTGCCACGAATACTAGAATTATAAATGCCAAGTACGGTACGGGAAATAAGCGATAACAAAGGAACAATCAGATCATAGATCTGGAGCCTACCTATATCTCGTTATGTGTTTATTCGTTGGATGATGAAAAAATACCTTCAAATTGAAGATGCATAAGAAATCGCCCAAAATATCGTCGGCCACTTCTGACTATAACCAAGACGCTTTCATGATCATCACCGGTCATTTTGAAGCACCAACGATTTTGGTTCCTTAAACGAAGTGAACGAGAATACTATTCACATTGACTTTAAACGTTTGGTACCAGCATTTCGTATCCAAATCTACTGCTTTTTAATCATAATTATGCGCTTAGGAGTAAACTCGTTATTTTCGTTTTCAGATCTAAACTACTGTGGAACCCACGAACCCTGTCTGAACGGGGGTACGTGCGAGAACACCGCACCCGATAATTACTTGTGCACGTGCCCCGAAGGGTTTTCGGGTGCGAACTGCGAGGTGGTGGACAACCCTTGTGCACCCGCCCCCTGCCTACATGGGGGAACCTGCATGGAAACTGGTGGTTCCTTTAATTGCGACTGCACGGCTGGCTGGACGGGACCCACATGTAATGTTGGTAAGTGCTTTTTGGAATAGAAAACAGACTGCTTTAGCGAAGCGATTTGTTATTTCTTCTTTTACTCAATGCTAAAAGCGAAGTTGATAAACTCATTGCAACGAGTCAAATAATAATTTACAATTTCTTAAGTAAATTCTTTTAGAATAGGAGTGAGCTTCACATGCCTTACTTAACAGGGTGTTGATTGATAAAATCGCTATACTGCCAATGATGATTTTGATTTAGAGACAATATTTTGAGTCGAACATGAGCATTTTGTCATTGTGTTTTTTTAAATTTAATGGATCGTTTTGGGCCTAACAAACTGCTTAATATGGTAGATTCCAGGCCAGAACAGGATAGATCATGTTGGTTAAAGATTCGCACAAAATTTATAATAATTTTCGGCTATTTCTGATCAGAGAGATGAGAAGAGTATGTTTATTTCTGAGCTCGTTGAGTTCCTCACTTTCTTTCGATAGAAATGGTACACCATTTGAGGCCCTTTAAGCGATTTGAGTGGTAAGGATGTCTTTCGTCAAAAATCAACATTTCACATGATTTTAACCGAATGTATAATTTTCGATCTACGTGGTTACCTAATATTCAAATACAAGAAGGTTGTATCCAGGGTAGAGCAGGTATCGTCGCTCAAAATTGGTCATAATTTTCTGTTATTTTTTTATCAGAAAAGTTCAGCACGGCTATTTGTTTGAGCCAACTGAATGGAGTTGAAGAGACTATTGACGAAAATGCCATAATTAGGGGTGTTTTCATGGTTCTATTAATTTTTGTGGACTTCGCACACTTTTTAATTTTTACGGACTTTTAACTTTTCCACAACTCTGCTGATTTTTTCTGGACTCGGCACTTATTTTGTCTTGATACGACCGGCTGATTAATATGTACAGGGTGATTTATGAAGATTGGCAAAATCCAAGTACTGGAGATATTACACGTCAAATGGTGGCCAATGTCGCAATATAAATATAAAAATATCCGAAAGGTAATATTTTTGAAGATACAAGATTTTTTGTCGTTAATCTGAAAATTTTGCACTAGAAATTTTAAATTTTGTTAGATATCGAATATGATGCGTGTTACAATTTTCGCGCTGCTCTCAAAATCTCAAAGAGAGCAATGATTTCTACATAAATTAATAATTCTTGTTACCTGTCGATATATCGGCCCATTTCTGAAATAAATGGATTCAACGAACGCTTCGTTTTAACAACAGGCCAAACTAAAAATGTATCAGATCAGGTTCAGATGAATTATTTCGCCAGTTTAAAAATTCACGAGTAAACGTTGGCTCATCGGTAAACACATTTTTTTCTAAAAATGTACCATCGTTGGTTTGTTGTTCTCGTAGCAAATGGTAAAACGTAAACGAGCGGGAGGGTCTTGCGGCACCAAATGCACAGGAAGAAAACAAAAAAAGGAAGAAAAAAAAGAAAATTAATTTTGCATTTTTTTCAGAATTCTTTAAACTGTAAGCTGAGTTACGCCTTTTGCAGTGCCTACTTAAAAGGCGAGTACTTAGGGCTTGATGTTCAATAACTCTCAATATAACTTCCTCTTCCTGCTCAGGGAAAAATATTTTTGGGGTGCTGTTATTGGCCTACTAGTGCAAATTGATTTGGTGTCGCTTYTAATTTTCGCGAATTATAAAAACTTCGTGTTCGTTGAATCAGTGTTCCTCGAAAAAGGCCCAAAATCTTGATATGAAAGAAAAATGCCAAATTTATGAAGAAATTATTGCTGTCATAGACTTTGAGCTAAATTTGATGTTGCACCTGCAGGGTGAGAAGTTATTACTTCAAGTGTGGGCAATATTGAATTTTGGACGCAATCTCCGAAAATATCAACTGTAGAGTAAGGCATAATTGGCCCAATGGCCACCATTTGAAGGGTAAAATTTCCAGTTCCCGATTTCCCATTCTTACTGAATCACCCTGTATAATACACCTAATATTTAGTAGTTCAGTCCATTTAATAATAATTTAAATATTTTCAAAGCCGTATTCCTTACAAGATCAATCGAAAAATTCCTGATCAATCTCACATGGATTTGCAACTTTCCCAAAGGAAACTTTGCAACCATACTTGTGAGGTCTAATTTACCAATCTAGCATTTACCAGCAGCAGCATTGTGCAATCGGCAACATTTCGAATGAACCAAAATTGATTAGACTGTCGCTAAAGTAGCAAATATCAGTTAGTTTGCATTGAAATGTTTATGGTGATCTAAGAGTGGATTTTCTCAAATAGGACACCTTCGTGATTGAAATTTACACATGCGAGGTCTCACTTGATACACGGCCGTCCGCCACGATATCTCACTGAAAGGTGTAATGGATTTCAGTTCCAGATCAAAACATTTTCTTAATGTCTTCATCTGCGAATTCGAAACCGAAATCTGCATATAGGACGTGGTCGGATTTGCATACAGTTCTTCCTTGCTTGGGAATTGGATTGCGGTATGAATGCCCTCCACACCTTCCGTGTTTAAATAATTCACGAATGCAGATATCTCCTATTTGCATAAATGTTGAATCGACGACGTCGGCTACCCTATTTTCATTTCCATCATTAGTTGGCTCTTTGTTGTTAACCCAGATAGCGCCATCAGCTGGATATGGGTATATTATTCATTTCCTTCTCGTTTAAATCAAGATGTTATACTAGCCAACCCACATTGAAGTAATGTCGATTTTCCTTAATTGTTTCAGTTTTTTTTTGTTGCGCTCTTAATCTATTCCTTCATTTATCTTCCACTCAGACTCTGGAGAACCAGATTGTCTAGTAAACGTAAAAAAGGTTCTTATTTGTCCATATTCAACCTTCGTTTGATAATCTGGTTCATACATGGTTTTCATCGCTGAAGTTACTGTAACTCTATTAAACTTCGCTCAACAATGATTCATCATCTGGCTTTTAATGAATGTAATAATTTTCCTTAGTGAAACATATACCCACTTCTGTGTAGATCTACCGTTTTTTTCACGTATGTGTGTGTGTTTGTGTATACTCAATTCGTGAACTCTTCACTAGTTATTCTGATACGGTCCACGCCTTCTAACTCGAACTGGTGCGAACCGAAGACCTGTTATTTTCGAAGAACTTAAATTAATTGAGTTTTGTTAAGGCGAAACGTTTGTGCCGACTTTTATAATGAATCCACAGACGAACTTCTTCAGTAAATGGTAGTTGTCTACCGTTTTTTAAATTATTATTTATTAAATTATCTTGTTTCTGGACCCTCGCCGTAGTTGAAACGTGTAATTTTGTCGAAGCGACCAAATTTAAAAAGCGGAGCGCGAAAAATATGGCGTTCTGCGAATACAATCGGTTCGATTGGGTTCTGATGGCGGATGATTGTCTTTTCGCTTGTAATTTTCTTGCTTTTTTCGAACCCATTGAGGCCATTGATTTCGATTTCTAATCACTCATGTAATTTTAATCTATGTGATTCGTTTTCGAATTTAAATCAGCATGAGTTAAGTACAGATTTCACTTAAACATTACGCAAGAGGTTCTACCATTTAGATGGTTTGCCTAAATTAGGAACATAATCAGGATTAAAGAAAATAATACGAAAATGAAATTGACCAACTGTTCACAATTTTGGACATCGGCTTAAATTAAAGATAAATTATCAAATACGGTGGAATATTTGAAAGGAAACAAAAATGAGATTCAAGTCATTAGAGGAAAATCCTTAGTTTACTGCAGCATTACACTCTCGGTAGGTTATCCGAAGACTAATTTAAATAATTAAATAGTCCTTTACTCCGCATTAAAGTACCATCCATTTATTTTGGATAAACAGACAACCGTGAAGTAAAGAATAATTTCGCTGCTTTATGGTTTTAATAACCAGTTACGGTGCTTCTTCAAATAATCGAATTGGATTAATTCTTGACCGAATAGAGGTACCTGTTTGCGGTTGATAGTAGGTTTTTAATTGAAAGTTATACGTTTTTTAATTAAATTTAACGCCTACATATCTTAAAGCCGTTATTATCGTCCAGTACCCATCCAATCATTTATTAAACCATGTCGGTCTTTCAACTCGGCGTTCTTAAACGTACAAACAAGCTAGCGCGGCTCTTCAATCAAACTATCGAAAACAATTAAAAAATATACACTCCAAAGATTTAATTGATGATATGGGTGATTCGAAAAAATGCACTAATGGTATTTTCACAGAATTAGTCGCAACGGAATTGGTTAACTGTTAAATCGCTTTCATGCCGACTGCCATACTATTGTAGTTGTATTTGCCCACAAATCGGAATCTTTTTATGTTACTCGATTATTTTTACAATTTATCTTCTGGGAACGTGAAATCGCATAGTTTTTACTACTTTAATATTGCGCCAAAGTGGGATCATCATTATCTGCTGAACCGACATTTCCATCCAAGTCATGGATAGTCTTTAGAATCCTCTGAATGTTCAATAAAATAGCAGCAACTCAAGAGAACGAAATAATGCATTAATTATAGCAAACATATCTGAATACAAAGTGAATGAGCGAAAAATTGAAAATCACCAGAGTGCCTGAACGCAGCTTATTTTAGTGGAATCTCAAGAGAAACATCGTCAAAACTCTAAACTAAAACTGGATGATGGAATTACATAAATTCGAAACTAAATTACCATCTTCAGACAGAACCGCTAAATCTGTCTATTAAGCCAAACACACTGTAAATTGGTTTCAAGTGGAAATGGAAGATTAGAAAATAATTGTACGTGGTAGATCATCAGTGGTAGCTGCTACTTCACACTCGAGTTGATAGATTTATTTCGGTTCCCCGAGGGTTTGTATATATAATCAAAAGAACATTTACTTTTTTCTGGTTAATGGGAAAATGCCATTAGGGGCTCGACTGAAGGAGCCAACGCTAATATTTATCAAATTGGTCGTTTTAAGTAATGATAGTTTTTGAGATAACGCTATTAGTCGGCCTAATTACTTATTTCGTGTCAAATACCTGAGATCACAGTTCATCT